TGGTTTTCAGGTTGCCAGGACTATGTTAGAGGCCGGTGTTCAACGGCGTGAGCTGGTCGCATCAGAGAGGCGAGAATATAATACCGCTAAAATGATGCTCTACGTTGTCATAGGTAGTACTTCTCCATGTCATATTTCGTTTTTGACCGCTTAAACCTATTTTTAACACTTGTTATATCAGCGCATTTTTTCCTCAGTTGCACTCTCGCTTACTGTAGGGGTATTAAATGTGATTGTTATGGTAACCATGTAATCAACAATTCGAAGCCATTTATTTAAGGAAGTTGCATTTTTCCCATAGTTCACTCATAAACATGCAGTGATGGAGGATTAACAATACTTACCATTCGATATGAAACAAAGTAATGGATGCGGGCGTTCAGTATGCCAATCTGATCTCAGACTTTCGCTGATATAAGCGATTATTATCCGCTTTCGCATTCGTACTTCCTGGATTAACACTTTGAATGGCCGATTTTCAGTGTTCATATTTTGCTACACACTCTCGATGGTATTGAATTTAGCGGAAATTCTGGATGAAGAACTCTTCAGACAACCGATTGGATATCTTTTAAATGATGTGAATAATATTTTAATCGTTCTCAACTCGTCCTCTTCATTTGTTTTCTATACGAAATATTCATCGAGGTGAGCTTCGTCTTTTTTTTTTGGAGAATTCTTTCCAAACTTTCATTTCGTGCGATTCTGTAAATAAGATATTACCGAAAGTTCATCCAGCTGATGCAAAATTAACAGTTTCAAAACCACTCCAGAGATACTGCTCGTATATTTTTTCACGATTTCCTTTCAGTGTGAGATTGCCCCCAGATTTAGTTGACAAATCTGTCATAATAAGCTGTTTCAACTAGAAATTTCCTAAAACTCATATTGCATAAAATCCTTCATTATCAGTCGTGATCAGAAGTGATCAAAACTGCCGTTGATAAGCATATCAGCCCCTGTATGTTTGAAATTACAGATTCCGTGCTCAACTGAAGACGATGTGTTTTATTCGTCTGTTCACATCACGTTGTAAGTGCTGTTTTCGGAGTCGACATCAAAGAGCTGCTCCTCAGAGAGGCTTCAACTTGGACAGTAGCACAGGGCGGAGCACTCCTCGATCCTCATTACAATACAGCTCCGTTTACCAGACGAAGTTGACTGGAATATCGCTGTTAACCGAACTAAAGCAGAAATGACTAGTGACATCCGACGAGGTTCATCGATAATTTTTATCGAATTGAACTTTCGGTTGTTGAATGTAATTTCATGTTTTTGTGACCTGCACCACCGTCATCTTACCATGTGACGTTGAGATTTTGTGCAAAGAGTTTTTGTATATATGTAATGATTAATACTGTGCTATAATACGTGTCATGCTGACTTGATACTGTCTGGCGATATCTTGCTAATAAAAGAATGATATATCATATCGTGGACTATGAAACTCACTATGAGATTGAATAGTTTATCAGACAATGCATGCATGTTGATTAGACGTTCTCTTAAATGCTTGAAGATAAATCGATGTTATTCATTTAATTCGGACGATCAGAAACTTTATTCAGGCACCTTTCAGTTGATGTTGATTAGTTAAGAGATAGCTGTCTACAACAGAGATTCAAATCCATTGGAACAAAGAATTCGCTAACATATATTATAATTCCTAATCGCTTCTCAGAGATACTTTGTTTCACATTAGCTTCAGATGAACAAATTCTTTAGTAAACACTTGATCAAGGTTTCTTTTAGATTGTTTATGTACTCATTCTTCGCAGTTATTACTGATGTGTTGCAACATCTCAGAGTGATTTGCTGTTCAAAGAAGAATATTTCGGCTTTTCTCAACCGACGCAACGAATATTCACATTTCACCGTCCCATTCATACTCATTTAATTTGCTTGCGACATTCGCATTCCGGATATCTTTGGCGAAAAAAATTTCTTTGAAATTTTCCATTACGCTCGATCGCCACAAAGATGTTGTCGAATTTCGAAGGGTGATACAGCAGAGCATAGACGGATTGTAAACAAATACATTTAGAAAGCACTTCATACGGATAGTAAGTATCATAAGAACCTGAGAGGCTCACGAAATGGATTGAACGGAAACATTTAGCATAACCAACATACATGTGTAATATGTAGTATTTATTACTTTATGCAAGTACATTAAAACAGCAAGCAAGAAAATGCAGCACAGAACCGCTGAAGGTTCGCTTATGTTTGTTTGTTCGAAGATGTTTCTTTTGACAAATGTCTGGCATGCGGCTATTGAAATAAATGGGCCATTCTAGCGTCTTTCCTTAGCTCAATTGGTTGCTCACATCCGCAGATCAACTGAGCCACATCGATCTGAAAGAAATGCTGATCAGTTTTTTGAATCACTGTGCTAAATCTAATCAAAAATTCTTAATTTCAACGAGAAACGCAAGTATGTGTAAATGACATACAGTATGGCTTAATGAAATGGCCAGCTTCATGACGTCAAGTATTTGTGAGCAACGTTCTACAGCATCGAATAGCAGATATTTCTGAGCGAAATGGCCGTCCAATTCCCTTGAAAACAGGAAAAACATTTCCTTGACGTGCATGTTCTGCGACCGAAAGCGTGGATATAAATAAATAGCTTAAGTAGCAATAAAGCAACTGAGCATAAACTGGGTTACAATTTTCCTAATGGCTTAGCTCTGGCTCAGATCTTTTACGACTGCAGGATAGCTGTTCAGGGTATATCCTGAGGGATTTCGAGGAACTGAAAAAGAGTTGGATCGAATGCATTAGGCAAATTGTCTGGATTGTCTGCAGAAATTGCGAAAGTTTCAGTTTTTTCAACGGTCCGATAGGTGAGGGACGGCTGAATTGCTGAGTGGAATGGCACGTGATAAGTTGTCATGTGCATGAAATGTGCATGAAATGAGCAATCATTACCATCGACAGATGTTTGGAACGAGAGTATAATGTTATGGAGCATAATGTTAATCATCCGCAAGAAGTTTGAAATGTAGGATCTGCCTAAATAGGGAGAATGCTGAGAGCAGATGCATGGGTTATTATCACTTTTAGTGATGCTATTATTCCGTTTCAGGGCGGCCAAGATACTGCAACGCAAAAGTATATCTTAAGATAATCTTGAAGACTGTGGTTGCATTGATAATATATCCACTTCTCAACTCTGCTTGGCGGTTTAAATGGAATTTTGAATTTTACAAAGATGCACAAAAATTCCATGAACATACATGATTCGGGACTGATAATCACCGAACTTCGTGAATGGTTTACCAAGGAAGGACTGGAGCATTTTTAACTGAAAATAAAAACATCTGAGTAGTGATTATCACAAATAGAGTGCATTTTCATTGTCAACATAGGTAACGGTGCTAATAACATGTTTACGGTTTGACATCTAGTAATAGATCATTGGATGGGTGCGGGAGGGAAAGAAAATCTCCTAGGGAGGAGTTTGAAAATCTGACGAAGGGATTAGGGAGAATGGCAAATTATTGTGGATTGCCATTTCTTCGTGATTCTTTCATAACTGTTTAATGAAATTCCAAAAAGTTTCATTTGATCGGAACTAATTGATTCTTATGATGCTAATGAATTGTCTAGGAAATTAAAAGAGACACAACAGAGATTTGCTATAATTCATTGCCAGTTTGGCGTTGATGTGAATGTGATTCAATCTATTGAGTCTGATGGGCTGAAAAAGACGTGAGTAAACCAAGGTACTCTTAATAACCACTAACAATAAGTATTCATTTGTTGCCTCTCAGAAACACCACATACACAAACAAAATAATAAAGCCCAATACCCGAATCGTCACATGAGTGAAATGATACATAAACTTGAAATTTTCTTGACTTAAACCTGGCGCATGACTTGTTTGCTGAAGTTATCCAGTTGACTGGGATCATATGGTAAATTTGACATAACATTGATTTCTACGTTCTGGTTCGAGCAGGAATTAGACACTCTGTAACGCAACTCATCAAAAAATGCCTAAATTCAGGACTTGAACAAACAATTTTAGCTGTTTTATAAGCCTTTCAAAGTTGCTTGCTTCGTTCCTTAGCGAAATATGTTTAAAATTTGATTGATGAATCGACTCTCTAAAGTTAGTGAAAGTAAAAACAGTTTTAAGTGGAGGTGCAAATTTTCACTAACTGATACCGGGCGAATGTTGGATAATCATCCGTTATGCTGCGTTCAACAGTTTTCGGTGTTTCGTCGTCGAACTGATGTAAATCATCTTGCAGGCTCNCGGGCGATTGTTGGATAATCATCCGTTATGCTGCGTTCAACAGTTTTCGGTGTTTCGTCGTCGAACTGATGTAAATCATCTTGCAGGCTCATAAAATTTGCCGCATCGCTCAGGTATAGCGGTCTCGGCCCTCCTGGTGGTACTTGGGGTCCTGGCCCGTGCGGTCCTCCACCTCCTGGCGGTACATGCTGTCCTCCCCCTCCTGGCGGTACGTGCTCTCCTCCTCCTCCTCCTGGTGGTACATGCTGTCCTCCTCCTCCTGGCGGTACGTTCTCTCCTCCTCCTCCTCCTCCTCCTGGTGTTACGTGCGGTCCTCCCCCTGCTGGCACTCCTGTCCCACTCGTCGCTGGTTTCTGGCCTGAGGATGATGGGTAGCAACACTGCAAATTCCGATAATTTGAAAAATCATCAAAGAGATTATGAAGAAAATTTCTTCTAGATTTAGAAAAATAGTTAAAAAATCGCTTATTCGAAAAATCGGAATATTTGAACTGGGAAATTCAGACTGAAGGTGAATGTGATCTGTTAAGACGTTTTGCGTAAACTATTATCCGGAACTCTCGCAAGGCAAGATACACATTTCGCATCGGATTTGAACGGAAGAAGTATGAAGTTCAAACACGTGAGCGAAAAATTCATAGCTTGAAGATTCGGCTTACTTAGTGATTGCTTAATGGTTTCAAATCAATTGTAAAATTTTTGGTTTCATTACCCAAGTTTTAGGTGCTGTGTACTTACCTCAAATTTGGGTACTGAAACCAAATGCTACTATTAAATTTTTGGTTTTATAATATATGCTTTTCTGAACACGACTGCGCCATCTATTTGAGAAGGATCGAAGAAAATGGCTATATCTCCTCAAGTAAGCAAAATCGCTCGGAGAAATATATGTTTTTCTGAATGGAGATATCCAGCTCGATCGAATGATGCAAGGAAATTCACATGTTTCCGGGCAAACCTGAGAAGACGGTTAGCTC